TACTGCCTCGGAAACCCAAGGAGGGGTCGCTATGAGTCAGGTATGACTCGATGGCACATAACAACAACAACAACATGACGGGAAATAATGGAGTGCACCTCCGTTAGAGAATAGTAGTCAGAAAGGCCTCTCTGACATTTAAATTGAATCTGAAAAATGGGAATGAGTCAGTTCAGATTAGAGATAAGAGGGCTAACAGGACAAGAAAGAACTTTCTAGACAGAGGAAACAGTAAGCACAACGATTCTGAAATGGAAAAGATCTTGGTGTGTTCTGAGAAATGACAAAAAGCCAGAAAAACTAGAGGGTAGTAAATTTGGGAGTGGAGTATAGGAGTGGAAGGGGATTAAAATGAGATCAAGTAGAACCTTGTAGGCCATGGAAAGAAGTTGGGATTTAATTCCAAATGCATTGGGAAACCATTGAAGAACTTTTAAGCAGGAGGTGGTACTATCTGATTTACTTTATTAGAAATCATTCTGGGTACTGTGCTTAATTAGAGGGAAGTAAGAGTAGAAAGTTGTTGGGTGGTACAAATGGTTAATGCACTCAGCTGCGGATGGAAAAGTTGGAGGTTTGTGTTCACTCAGAGGTGCCTCAGAGGAAAGGACTGGCAATCTATTTCTGAAAAGAACCATCCATTGAAAACCCTGTGCAGCATAGGTCTAGTCTGATACACATGGGGTTGCCATGAGTCAGAATCAACTCAGTGGCAACTGGTATGTATGTAAGAGTGGAAGCAGGGAAACCAGTTAGAAAGTAAGAAAAGATGATGGCTTAGACTAAAATGATGACAGTGGAAGTAGAGAAAAGTAGACAGATTTGAGAGATATTTTGAGGTAGAGCCAGTAGGACTTACAGACTAATTCATTATAGGGAGACAGAAAGGAAGGGTTTAAGGATGACTACTGAATTTCACTTTAATAGCTGGGTGGTTAGTGGTGCAAATTAATAATACGGAGAAAAGGAGGGTGGAATAAGTTTAATGAGGTTTGAAGAATTGAGGGGGGAAAAGGTATAAAGAGTTCAGTGCTGGATTTTTTTTTCTTTAAATTTTATTTATTTTGTTCTTGTTGAGGATACACACGCAAAACACACACCAATTCAGCAGTTTCCCATGTATAATTTAGTGACGTTGGTTACATTCTTTGAGTTATGCAACCATTCGCACCCTCCTTAGCTGAGTTGTTCATCCCTCATTAACATAAACTCACTGATCTCTGAGGTTCCTGTCTAATCTTACAAGTTGCTCTTGTCAATCTGATTTCATACAGATAGTTCTTAAAAGAACATAATGCTCAAGGCAGACCATTTTTACTAGTTAAGCTAAACTATTATTTGGTCACTGTTGGATTTTTAAAATTAAGATACCTATGAGAT